TCTAGACATCACCTGAAAGAACACAATAAAACATGGGACGATGCCCGGTCAGCGAATAATGTTGGTAACCCACCAATACATGTGAAATATCATACATAGATAAGATATAAGTTGTAAAGTCATTTTCGAAACGGAATACATAAGTATATAAGTACAAAACCAAGAGCAATGGTCAACACAAGACTCTACACTCTCAACAAGGATACGGGAACACATCCCAAAACCACAAAGGATAACCACAACACAAAGGATAAAGACAAGACCGATGGCAACACATGCGTAGGCAATACATGCCTTTGTGACTACACACGTCACAAGAAGAGAACACACAACCACGGCTACACAAGCCCTCGTGACATCACTCATCACGAGTTGATATGCCTTCCTTATGCCCAATTCCAACCTTATGGCTACCCCCAACCTTATATCTAGTTCCAACCTTTACCTCCAGGACCCCTGTACACCAAGTCCAACCTTATTCCCCCGGAACCGTCGTTCCCCCTCCAACAGTCCCTCCAACAAAACCACCGATTTCATAGTACACGAGGTACTGATCACACATGGCAACACATGCCCTGGATAACACATGTTATCCTAGAAATAAACACGTGAACCTTACACAAAGGCCACAAACTCCATAATCACGTCACGGCCACCACGAGGACCGCTGCAATACCTTGGTGACTAGTGTCCCATACCACTAATCGTGCAATCCAGGTCAAGCCACACACACATCACACCTCAACAGGAATCAATCAACGGATCACAACGAAGATATGAAACCATACTCAATCAAGGAATGGGTCACAGCCCAACAACAACAACGATGAATAACACAAATTATCATCAACCAATCGGAAGGTACAAACAACACACACGCTATCATTTAAACACCGAACTAGCATGCTCATCAAACGGGTAAACCAAAGGTAGTTCCGAAGAACACACAAGACTCATCACGGTTCAACGAAACACAATGTTGAACACTTAGCACGATTCAAGGCACCAAAGCCTACATGGATTCCTACCATATATTTCTAGACATATGAAACATCAAGAAGACACTCAAATAGTTCCACAAAAGAACATCGGGAAGTCAAAAGACCAAATACCGAGTCAAAAGAATCACGGGGAACAAATCCCCAACAACCAAAATAGTGTACCCGCGGGTGGGCCCACGGGTAGGCCTCTACCCGCGGTTCCGCCCGCGGGTATAGGCTGCCCGACCAATGTACCCCGCGGGTGGGCGGCGGGTGGGCCTCCTACCCGCCGTTCCGCCCGCGAGTACATCCCTGTACCACAATACAACACTTCGCGGATTTTCATCTCCAAACTCAAATTCAAGTCCAAAATATGCCAAATCTCACCAAATACAACAAAATAACTTGAATCAAAGGAAATGCCAAGCAATGGCACAAATGAACCCTAAACACAAGCTCTAGATATGCATTTTCACAAGACAATGCATAAACACTCACATTTCATAGCAAAATCACATGTAGAATCCAAGAATCATCAAATAGGTAAGCAAAATAGGTTTTGTAGAGCATGGGTTACCTCTTGTAGACTAAAGACTTCACTTTACACCCCAACAAGCTCCTCACTAGGCTCACCTTCCAAACCCACTTCAAGAACATACCAAAAGATCATAAAGATCTTATCTTTAAGAAAAGACACCTTAGATAAAACCAAAAACACAAGATGAACTTAGATCTTACCCTCCTAGATGCCCAAATATAAGAAAGGTTGAATCTTGAGAGCAACTTTTGAAGTTTTGGCAATGTTCCAACTTGGCTTAGAAGAAAAGCTACTCACCTTTTTAGAGAGAAGGTGGAGCTAGATTTTTAGAAAAGTGTAAGGAGAGAATGAAGGTGGTCTACTAGGTTAGGTTACAATACCAACAACAAGTGAAAGGTCAAGAATACCCTTATTAACATTAGGAAGTGTAAGGAACAAGGGAACTCCTTACAAAGCTCAATGTACAACTTTGACTTTGGGGTTGACTAGTCAATTACTAGTCCCCAACTATTAAATTTCAGGAATTTAAGGAATTAAATTACAAATTGAAATAAGATTAATTACTCAATTAATCCCTTAGTTGAATTTGGATTTCGGGATGTCACATCCTAGATGCTCAAGAGTAGGAAAGGTGGAATCTTGGAGACAAACTTTGAAGATCTTGGAAAGCCTAAACTTAGCTTGGATAGAAAGCTAGCTAAATTCTAGAGAGAAGGAAGAGTTTTATGTTTTGAGTCTGTTAGGAGAAGAATGAGAAATGACCTTAGGTTAGCTTGGATACCAACATGAGGTGTAAAGTCATCTCTACCCTTACTAAGATGAAAAAGTGTAAGGGGACAAGGGAACTATTCTCAAAGCTTTAGGTACAACACCTTGACTTGGGTTGACTAGTCAATTACTAGTCCCCGACTATTAAATTTTCAGGAATTTAAAGAATTAAATTACCAATTGGATTAGGATTAATTACTTAATTAATCCCTAA